CATGTTTCATAATTCATACTTATAAATCAAAACATCTCGAGTACCACATATGGTGACTCAACATTGTAAAACAAAACAAATAACATAAGTTCTAATCATTCGATCCCAACCCTGATGTTACATATCAAAGCAACACTTCATTTATTGAACAAATGCAAATAAACACACTCCGAAGCTATCCTCTATTGCTTCTATGGACTATTCTTGATCACCTGCGTGTTACCCACGTGGAGGAAACATTCAAACAGAAAGGGTGAGTAAATCATAATCATTATATAAGACATAAGGAATAGACATAGTAAATATGCACATAAGTAAGGCATCACACATCATCATATCTTCATGTTATACTCACACCTTCACAACTTCATCAATACACAAACACACATCATCATACACAATGTATCATCAAGCATCACAAATAAATCATTATGCAATGTCACATATAATGTTATGCAACGTCATAGACTCATGCATGTGGTACCAAAACTTCACTAATGACTCAATCATTGTTATCTCCAAAGATCCCACCATAGGATCGATTCCCTCTTGGAACCAGAGCACTTCACTGTTGCACCCAATCCACACTATGAGATTGATTCCTTCACTGGAAAATTATCCTATCATCTTCGCTGGACCGAAGTCCTAACTTCACTAGACCGAAGTCCTAATATATTACATGAATGCATGATGCACAACAACATAATAAACATGACCACAACTAGTCTACACGCATCATCATTCATATTACATCATTATATCATCATCATAACATCATATCATCATCTAATCATCATATCATCAACATAACATCATATAATCATATAATCATCTTAATAAAACATCATATCATCATAACATCGTATAATCATCATCATAATAAAACATTATCATAATATCATCATCGTGTCATCATAATATCCAAACATCATCATATAACATAATATATCTTCATGTCATCATATTATATAAGGTATCATCATAACGTCTCTTAATCATCCCATATTCATCTTCTAATCATCTTAATAAACAAGCATCTTCGTAATCCAACATGGGGAGCCTAACTTCATTCTAGATTAGGTATAGGGAATATACTTCTTATTCTTCATTTTACTCCACATAAATAAAGTTTAGCGCGTTAGCCATCCAACGCTTCGAACGACACTTCAATATGAGCTCTAAAACTCAAGTTACGACACTTTTAAGAAAATCCAACACGACCATTCAAAACCGAACATCATTGCCTGGAGACTCACCTTCGTCGCCTGACGACGCTCCCTTCACCACCACCATCGCTCGAACATGTTTGGTGCGATGCACTCCAGAAACGTCACTCTTTTCTGCCTTCATCGCTACCTATTTCGCCAGGCGACACGTCTTCGCCCGATGACACTACCTACGTCGCCCAACGATGCTGCACGAACAAGGTTTTCCTATTGTGATTTCCTGCATAGAACCAGTCCCAAATTATGCGATTTCACCATATTATAGATCCTAAAACATCATATAATCACAAGTTTTCATCATCTATCAACATCCTATAATTTTCTACTCATTATACACCAATTATAAGTCATTAATCATTACCAATTCATAAATTCCTCATCAAACATCACCAAATCTTAATCTACCAAAACCTAAGGCAATATACCATCATCTAAACCTTAAATAAACTATAATAACAATGATAAAACTCCTCTTACCTTAATATTATTGTAAGAGATCAACTCTTCTTCGTGCTCTACCAGGATTCCTATGCTCTTCTTGCCTCTTTATGCCCTAACTCTCTTTTCTCCACAACGTTCTTCCAAATTCTATCGTACAGAATGAGCGTGTAAAATCCAAAACCTTCTTCTTATACCATACTTTCCCTCTTGGACCCCTAATAATGAACTTCCCATCACGCCCTCACTTATCCTTCACTAATGACCACAATGCCCTTAATCTCTCTACATCATATATTATCTATTTATCTTAATTAAAATAATTCTAAATAATTACTTTAATTATTCTAAAAATACACAATTGGTCAATATCACCTAATTCCCTGTATACTGCTCATAGTAACCCATCACATATCATATTCATCAAATCATCATATTCAAACCTCATGTTTATCTCAATCATCATGGTACACTTCATATTCATCATAATTTCATAAATCACCATAAAGGCTCACAGATAATCATCAAAACATCAAACACTTCACATTGACTCATGTAATCAAACTAAATTAATTAATTAAATAATTTATCTAGAATTCAGGGTGTTACATCCTTCGTCGCACCGCAATCATCAAACCAAAGTATTTTCTAATGATCGTAGACCTCGTCCATACGCGGGTTTTAGCTTAGCTCTCACATTTTTTATTATGTGATACCGACAAAATAATGCATATGAAGTAGGAAACACACTTCCAACCACATTTATAAGGGTGTTATCTTGATCGGTTACAATGATAATAGGTATATTTTATGGACCATTCAATAAAGACTTGCATATATTCAACTCCCATGTTACACTGTCTCCTTTCTCAGATTCCAGAAATGCAAATCCAACCGAAAATATCTTCTCTGTAGAAGTGACACCAATAATTTCTAGAAGCGGAAGCTTATATTTATTGGTCTTATATGTTGAATCAATTATAAGGACAATTAGAAATATATTGAATAACTTGATACTTTCTGGATGAGTCCAAAATATGTCACAAACCTTGACTTTATCCTCACACACTTTGTACCTTGAAACATAATGGTTATCGTTCAAAAGTTTCAAAAGTTGTTGTATTTCGGATCTCAAACCTCTATTCACCATGTTTTGTTGATAACATTCATTGTATACCTGCCTGATGTTTGAAACACTTTATGGTCTTTTCCGTTTCAAATCAACAAGTATGTTTCTCGGCGCAACTTTGATCATCGATATTTCCGAAATAATTTCCCTCTCCTCTGGCTTAAACTGAAATATAATTGGATGTCCTTGTAGCTTCGTATCCAACGCATGATTATGTAAACCACATATGACATTAAACCGCCATAAATCATCCACCATACAGTATCCACGTAATTTAAATGGACGCTCACATTTTCTCGATCCAGTGTCTTCATGTTTTAAGTTCTGAATTTTTGGAACATATTTTCCACTTCTCTCGCATGTCATCATTTCAAATGCTCGCCTTTTACTAGTGCTATTGTCGGACCTTTCAATTACAATGCCAAACCCAAGTTTGACATCTTCAATTCGGTCCCATTCTAGCATATGTTGACGAGCACTGAAAATTTGATCATTTGTAAATTGTTGCCAAACATCTACCGCGACAATAATCGTTTTAACGTCATCCTTCAACTCTTCCGACTTAACATCCTCATTCACCTTGTCTGAATCCTTTACAACAGTTTTGGGAAACATGTCGGGGTGCACCATATCTAAAACGGGCGAAAATATAAAATTTGTTCAACACAAAATTCTGTTTTTTGTAACAGACATAGTTTTGGTTATGCACATCCGAAAATACCACTGAATGTTTAAATCCAACATTTAAATGATTATAGCGTGTAAACAAGGAGTTTTCATATATGCATATCCGAAACATCTTAAAAATGGATTTAAGGGTATTTTAGGGTTTTTAGATATTTTTTCACCCATATAAGGGTGTACTAAGAAATCCCATTATCTTATGATTAGAGGTGTAAGCGGATAAGAAAAATTCAATTAAACCGATGATCCAAACCAAACCAATCTGAACTAAAACCGATTATTTCTGGTTCAGTTTTAAAACTAAATCAAACTAATAAAAACCGATGTGGTTTGGTTTGATTCGGAACCGCCAAACCGATGAGCCAAACTAATAAAAATAATTACGCTTTACATCTTTTACTTCACCCATTATTAAGCCCAAATTTTTCATCAGTCCAACCATTCTCCATATTTGTTTACACTTCCTTCCTTTCAGCAAAACACACATATATAACCAAACTCCAAAGCATAGAAAGTAGAAACCATAAGTCACAAAAAATTGCTTTCACTAAACTACTGCTCTCGCTACTAGCCACCGCTGTTGGTCTCACTACCGTCATTCTGATATGTTATGGTCGCCTTCTTCTTGTTCAAGTTCTCTTTGTTAATTTTCATTTTTTTACATTTTTGTTTCTGCTTCTTCAACAAAATTCTTTCTAGTCTTGTTATAAAATAGATTTGAAGTGTGCTTGAGGTGTGAAACATATTAATTGATTGTGTTATATTGTATTCTATTTGTTAAGCTTTCAAAATCTTTTCCAACATTCTGATGTCAAGTGTTAAATTTTATATTGATATTGAATTTATTTCATGATGCAATGGAAATCATGTCACTGTTTCGTATGAATTAAGAGCAACTTGTAATTTATTTAAAAATAAAGCATGAAACAAATTACATGAAATGTATTATTTAAAAAAATAATAGCATAAAATACACCAAAAACACAATAGTAAAAAATATTCTGATGAATATAATGTTTGAAAAAGTATATTATAAACCAATTAACTGAACCAAATCAAATAGAATCAAACTGGTTAGTTTGATTCAGTTTCATTTTTAAAAAATATTAAAAATCGAACCAAATCAAACTGATAAAAATATCATCGATTCAAACATTTTTTTGACCAGAAACCTATCTGATGACACCCCTTCTTATGATAAAGACTTTGGAAAGTTTTTTAATTAAAAAAATCTAAAATAATAAAAATGATAATAATAAAAAATTATATTAATAATAATAAATAATAATAATAAAAATGATTAAAAAAGAAAAACTAAAATGGTTCGTAAGCCTTGGGGTAGAAAAGATGACTTGAAACACGGAGAAACAGAGAAGAAGACAGAGATCCGAGCAAGATCAAACAAACACGCACACACTCTGAATCTCAGATCAATCTCGAACCTCTCACCTCTTCTCTCTCAATTCCCTTCTCCATCAACAATCAATTCATCTAAAAAAAAAAACTATTAAGTCAAAATCACAATGTCGCTCAACATGAAAACCCTAACCCAAGCACTAGCAAAAACCGCAGCAGTAATCGAGAAAAAGGTGCAAACAACGGTGCAAGAGGTAACAGGTCCAAAGCCACTTCAAGACTACGAGCTTCTCGACCAGATCGGTTCCGCTGGACCGGGTTTAGCTTGGCGGCTTTACTCCGCCCGGGCTCGGGATCCGTCGCGGCAGCATCAGTATCCTGTTGTGTGCGTTTGGGTGTTGGATAAACGGGCGTTGTCGGAGGCGAGAATGCGCGCGGGGTTGACGAAAGCGGCCGAGGATTCGTTTTTGGATTTGATTCGGACGGATGCGGGGAAGCTTGTTAGGCTTAGGCATCCTGGAGTTGTGCATGTTGTTCAGGGACTTGATGAGAGTAAGAACGCCATGGCGATGGTGACCGAGCCTTTGTTTGCTTCTGTTGCCAATACGCTTGGGAATCTTGATAATGTTGCAAATGTTCCTAAGGATCTTAGGGGAATGGTTAGTGTTTTGATCCAATTCAATTCAATTACATGCAATCCAAGTGCTAGTGCTTGCTAATTATAATTCATTATGTATAAGCATGATTTTAAATCACGGCCGAGTTGTGAAGCATTGTTATTACCAAGAAGCATCACTCTCAAATATTGCTGATACCGCCTCTATGGTAGTCTCTACAATTGTAATAGAATATAGATCATGTGGAAGATTGCACGCATATAGAAAAAAGTGATACAAAATAGAGGTGTGAAATTCCACTATGTATTACTAGGTAGAAGCTTTGTCTATGAATATAGACAAATGGATTGATAAGGAAGATTGAAAACCCTGTTGTCATAGACTAAATAGTTCATTACCTTTTTTAAAACCATGTGTATATGTTGAGTGCCTTTTTCATTCCATTGCTAATTTTTTGTATTTTTGTGTGGATTGCTATGTTATTGTTGTAATTTTTTAATTTGCAGGAAATGGGATTGTTGGAGGTGAAGCATGGTTTACTTCAGATGGCGGAATCGTTGGATTTTCTCCATAACCAGGCTCATCTTATTCATCGAGCTATATCTCCTGAGGTGATAACTTTTTTAATTTCTTTTTTGTCCTTTATAATGATCCTTGTAATTAATTTAGTTATTTTTTCCTTCAACTTTGGTCATGCGGTGAGTAACTTCTCTTTTGATAAAAGAAAGTTTTTGACAAGTGATAATACCGGTGAAAGTGATTGCAATTATAGTTAGAAATGGTATAAACCATGTAAATTGTGTTTCTAAATTTGGAGTGTAATGGTGAACTTATATAAAATTTCAGAGTGGTTCATTGAATACAAATTTTATGCTTTGCAGAATGTTTTTATCACAATGAGTGGAGCCTGGAAACTTGGTGGATTTGGTTTTGCAATTCCTGCTTCGCAGAATGCTGGCGAGTTATCTAATCAGCAAGCCTTCCATTATGCTGTGAGTGGAAACGTTTGATGTGATTATGGTTTTCTATATTGAGATTGTTTAATGGACCGACATATTGGATGCCTTATGCCTTGTGCTAACTATGATGATTTTATATAAAAAACTATACTATGATGTTGCTGAAGATATGGATATTCTTGAATATAGGATAGGACAAAAATTCACAAAGTATAATATACTCATCTAATTTCAATTCTTAAAATACAAATTAAGAACATACTACCTCCATCCCTTTTATAAACCCTTTTGACTCTTTTCACATATATTTGGCAAAGTTGGTAGTATAATTAATGTTCAGATTTTGTGTATGAATATTACTAAGCAGTCCTTTTCTGCATAGGTGTGTCCAATATGACTTTTCTTCTCCTAACATAAATTAGTAGTATTAATAAATGGTATATTTGAAAAATTATAATAAATATACGTCGAAAATTATTAATATAGCTTATATTTTGAGACAAATTTTCTTCTTCCTAATGAGGCCTATATTTAGCAACAAAGGTGGTTCTTAGACCTTACTATTACTAGTATTTGGTCTTAGTTTTGCTTTGAATGATTTGCTTGATTTTCTGGGTAGAAATTTAACTAAGGGCGATAACAAGTATGCTGCAAACCTAGACGTGGAAAAGAAAGCTATGCAGCACATTATACGGCCACAAAAAATGCAACAATCTGAAGATGAAAAATATGTGTTGATTTAGGCAAAAAGTTGAAATCGCCGCGTTGATATTGTCATAATCCTGCCAAAGAAATTGAAGACGACTTTCTTCTATTGAAAGGGTCAGAGCCTTGTCAAAAACCTCTTCAGCTGTATACTACGGTCTGTCGGCCATATCAGATTTAATAATATATTTTCTCTTTCGAGAAAAAAAGAGGTTGATTTGCTCGTCAATGAGTTATCCAAAAGTATTCAATACATTCACATATGATACCAGAATGAAATATAAGGGCGCATTTCATTTGCTTAAAATTGAGGGGCAGATGACAAAATCCATTTTCCGCGTTTGTCTTTTAAAGTAGTCATGTGATAGAACCATAGAATAAATCTAGAAATGAAATACAACATAAAACTCTGAAGTGTTTGACTCAACATAAAACTATTTAATATTTGTTTCTTCTAATCCTCAAGAGCTCAAATGATCTGTATCTTATTTCACCTTGGCTGTTGTGCAGGAATATGACGTTGAAGACTCTATTTTGCCACTTCAGCCATCAATTAATTACACTGCTCCTGAGATGGTGAGGAGCACTGCTTCTTCAGCTGGGTGCTATTCTGATATTTTCAGTTTTGGATGCCTTGCCTACCATTTGATTGCTCGCAAGCCTTTGTTTGACTGCCACAACAATGTGAAGATGGTATGTACAAATCCCTTTGTCTTCCTTTTTCATAGACTGGTAATGGTATCTTAAAAAAATGAGCTCGGTGTCATATAAACTTAAACCAGCAAACTTGTGGAAAGAAGTTTATTTTGATCCAGATTGAATCTTGTGTTTTTGTACATTTAATATGTAGTAAGATATTTTCTGTCAGTTATTTTTTTTTCAGCTTCTGTTACTTGCAATTAGTTTTTCACGTGCCATCTACTTCTCAAGGTTTTCTAGTATAATATATTCGAGGTGTATCATTTTCAATAAGCAGAAGTACTAAAATACCACTATTTTATTAATCAAAGTCAATGCTAACAATATTGAGTATTTATATTAATGATTAAATACATTTCACTATATAGATTTTTACTCTATATATTTAGATAGACAAAAAATGTCTAAAACTTTATTATTTGATAACACCAGGCTATATTATTTCATTAATTAGAAAGTAATATGAAGTTGTGATTTTGTACTTATGCAGTACATGAATACCTTGACTTACTTATCCAGTGATGCTTTCTCATCTATCCCATCGGAACTGGTTCCTGACTTGCAAAGGATGCTCTCTTCAAATGAATCTTACAGGCCAAGTGCGATGGATTTTACAGGTAAATAATACTTTATAAATGAATAAATATTCTTCATTCCTTGAATGAAAAAGAAAAACAGTCTTGGCACAAAACAGTAAATGGGGTTTCTTGGGATTTTTTTCTCACAAACAAAATTTTAGTGGGTGTATAAATTAAGTTTTTGGTGTCTGATCTGAAGAGGAAGGTCTCAATTATGTCAGATATGATGAGTGATAAATCTAGACTTCACAATGAACATGTGAATTAGTTAACATTGACAGGAAGTGGTTAGGAGCTAATACTAAGATCATTATATGCTAGTATTTAGTAGCATAATTGGTGTAAGCTAGTGCTGATAATTACCCGTATATACTAACAAACAAATATAAATAGGTGTGACTTTGTATCATATCACATCCATTATTATTCTAATGTCATCGATATAGACTATTGTTGCCATTCTCTCTTTACTCCTTTTCTACCTAAACTCTATCCCAGTCGTATCAACACGGCATCAAAGAACATCTCATCTCAATGGAAATGCAACAACTCCCAACTTCATCTCTCAAGTTATTTTTCTTGAACCAAAATACCGCTCTGCCTAGATCAGCCACCAATGGGCCTCCCATCAAATCTAGAGTCATCTTCATGCCAGAATTTCCAGCACAAGCAGAATCTTCCTGGATCAGAATTGCTCTGGTACCAGTTGATAGAAACCAACTGATACACAAAAAAGCATAGGGAAAATCCCTTTGAATTCTAGAATAATACAACAGAACTTCGAGAGTATGCACCTCCCTTAGTATCAAAATGACCCTTTTCCTTTCCAATCAAATTCCATGATAATAAACCTCCCTTATCTTCCCTTATCTTGTTTAAAGCTAAACACATAATTAGTAAAACGTAACGGCTAATAATATAATAATTTTCCACTAATGATCTTAATAGTTTCCCACTAACCACTTGTAATAATATAAACAATTGCCCCTTAAAATCATAACTTCTAAGTCATCCATTTTTGTTAATGGGAGGTCTAACAATACTCCCCTAATGGTACAAGGTGAAACTCTATTGTGTATTTCTTTGGGGGAGTATTGTTAGACATCGCATTAAGGAAAACTGATTATGTTTGTAAGTGATAATTATTATATTATTAGAAGTAATTAGTAGGAAATTATTTATTATTTGTAGCAGTTATGTTTTACTAATTCTCTACTCATGTTTATAATAAATAAGGGGGAATACAGGAGGGAGGTTTATTGTCCTGGAATTTGATTGTAAAGGGGGCCATTTTGGCACTAGGGGAGGTGCAGACCCCGAAGTTCTTGATTGAAAATGTGCCATTTTAGCAATTAGCGGAGGTGCATACCCTCAGAGTTCTGCCGTATTGTTGGAAAATATCTTATTTTCTTATTTTATTGTTTCCGTTTATTCTCCTTTATTTTACTTTATTCTCCATTAAGGAGAAAATTAATTATAATTATTGTATTTCCACTATATAAACCAGCCTAGAGAGTGTACTTGTACGGTTAGGGGCCCAAACATCACCATGAATACTAGAAAACGATTTTGATGGATTATAAGGTTGCATTGAAAATTAGGAACGATGATGCTTTGCAAACTCACATGCTTCACATTCACAATTAAACGAAGAAAAATTCTTATTATGAAATAACTTAGGAAACAAGTGTTTTAAGTAACGAAAACTAGGATGACCTAATCTTAAATGCCATACCATAATGTTGTCATCTTTATTATTCAAAACAGAAAAAGACTCAGAAACTTATTGTTTTTGAAGGTAGTTGTGATGTCGATCCAACATCAAGGTAGTAGAGTCCTTGTTAGGGACCAAGTGAAGAAAGATGGGCCAAATATAGAAATGACAAATCATATTGGGCCTAGGAGTGCTAAGATCTGGCAGGTTTATTCTAGAAGGAAAAAAGGATCACCATGTGATAGCTATGAGGTGGCAGAGAGAGAGTAGTGGCTTTAGCGAATATTGTTAGACGGTTACAATAAATGAGGAGGTAAGGGAATTGGGGACGTACGCTAGAAGATTCATTTAGCAATCATTGGATGAGGGGTTGTTAAGCACTCCATAGGAGCCTAGCTCTGTGGCAGTTAGATCATTGAATCTTCTGTAAATCTTCTTACCATCATACAATAATAGCCATTAATTTCTATCAGCTTCTATCCTTTTGTCTTAAATTTATTTGTTACTGTCGGTACCTAACATTGGTCCGACCTACCGGATACGTAGAAGGAGCCAGTGAAGGAACGTTGGTGGATGCCGCCGAAGAAGAAAACAATAGCAAACATGGAGGCGAAGATTGCAGATCTGGAGCAAGAGTTATCGTTGATGAAGGTTGCTTTTTCTGACTCCATCGCTGAGGTTCAACAAACGGCGAGGGAGAACCAAAGAGCGTTGATGCAGATGATGGAGAAGGTCCTTGGCAAAAAGGTGGTTGAAGTTGATGATGGTGTCTCGTCGGCGGTCAAGAAGGCTACAACATCCTCAGAGTTGAAAGGTGAAGCTTTGGATGAATTTAGAAGATCGGTTAAGAAGGTGGAGTTACCGGCGTTCTCCGGTGATGATCCAGCCGGATGGATCTCTAGAGCCGAAGTCTATTTTCGTGTGCAGGACACAAGTGCTACAGTGAAGGTGGGGATGGCGCAGTTGAGCATGGACGGGCCAACCATCCATTTCTTTAACTCTCTGTTAGAGGAAAACCCAGATCTGACATGGGAGGAGTTCAAGGTGGAGCTTCTAGAGAGGTATGGAGGTTTGGGAGAAGGAGACGTTTATGAGCAACTTACGGAGATTCGTCAAAAGGGTACGGTGGAAGACTATATACAAGAGTTTGAGCGTTTAACAGCTCAGATTCCAAGGCTGCCTGACAAAAAGTACCTGGGGTATTTTTTGCATGGGTTAAAAGATGAAATCAGAGGTAGGGTTCGGAGTTTTGTGGCTATGGGTCCACTTACAAGGAGCAAATTAATTCACGTTACCAGAGCAGTGGAAAGGGAGATAAGTGGTGGGTCGGGCTGGAACCGGAATCCGAAAATAGGTGGGTCAAACCGGGTTAACCCGGGAAGACATGGAGGTACAGATTGGGTTTTTGTGAAAGGGGGTCAGAATAGTGGAAATCATAATGGGATTGGGCCTAGAGGTGTTAATGGCCCAATTCATGAATCCAAACATGGTACTGCAGATAGGAGGAAGGGGGGTGTGCGTGAGAAGGGGTTTACCCATTTGTCTTATCAAGAACTAATGGACCGGAAGAAAAAGGGCTTGTGTTACAAGTGTGGGGGCCCATATCATCCTCTCCATCAGTGCCCAGATAAGCAGCTTCGTATCATGATTGTGGAGGAGGAGGAAGGAGGAGATGATGAAGCGAAGTTGTTGGCGGTAGAGGTGGAGGAATCTGAAGAGGAGCACGGTGGAGAGATGAGTGTTATGAGTCTCTTTGAACTGAAAGAGTCCCAACACGACAAAGTTCATACACTCAAACTCAGAGCAACGATCAATGGCGTACCGGTGGTGGTGTTGGTTGACAGTGGGGCTACGCATAATTTCGTTGCGAAGTCCATGGTTCAGAAGTTAGGGTGGCAAGTAGAGACCACACCAGATTTTAGAATCAAATTGGGTGACGGGTTCCAAACCATTACTAGAGGAAAGTGTACTCAAGTTTTATTCAAAACTGGGGGAGTCACCTGTGAAATTGAGGCGTATCTATTTGATTTAGATGGGGTGGATGTAGTTGTGGGTATGGCATGGTTGAAATCTTTGGGAGATATGATAGTTAATTGGAATAAACAAACAATGGAGTTTTGGCATGAGGGGAAGTGGGTAATGTTGAGAGGGATAGAAGGAACATCTGAAGCAATACCGGCATTGCAAAGCATTGTAGGGAAGGCTAGCAAAGGCTACGACAAGAAAGGATGGTCACTAGATGCAACGTTGAGCAACACGGAAGGGCGGGCAGAGGTAGTGTTAGAGCAATCCGTTATGCAGGAAGTATTGAAATCTTTCGATGACGTGTTCCAAGAACCTAAGGGTCTTCCTCCATGTCGCTCAAGGGACCATGCTATCAATTCAATGGCAGGACAAGGTGCAGTCAATGTCAGACCATATAGGTACCCACACCACCAGAAAAATGAAATAGAAAAACAGATTAAGGAGATGCTTGAGATGGGAATTATTCAACACAGTTGCAGCGCTTTTTCTAGTCCCGTTATACTGGTAAAGAAGAAGGACGGGACATGGCGAATGTGTGTTGATTATCGTGCCCTTAACAAGGCCACCGTACCAGACAAGTTTCCAATACCGGTGATAGACGAGTTACTCGATGAGTTACATGGGGCTCAATATTTCACCAAGCTTGATTTAAAGTCCGGGTACCATCAAGTGAGGGTGAAACCGGAGGATGTTCATAAGACGGCCTTCCGTACTCATGACGGACATTATGAATTCCTTGTGATGCCGTTTGGATTGATGAATGCTCCATCCACATTCCAATCCTTGATGAACGAGGTGTTTAGGCCCTTATTAAGGAAGTTTGTGTTAGTTTTTTTTGACGACATACTCATTTATAGTAAATCGTGGCAGACACATATTCTTGAAGTAACCAAAGTGTTGCAGATTTTGAGGAGACATAAACTGGTTGCTAATAAAAAAGTGTCAGTTTGGCCAGAAAACAGTTGAGTATCTCGGTCATTTGATCACGGGAAGTGGTGTAGCAGTAGATCCCTCGAAGGTGCAGTGTGTAATTCAATGGCCTATACCTAAGAACGTTAAAGGGGTGAGAGGATTTCTAGGCCTTACGGGTTACTACCGCAAGTTTATTAAAGATTATGGGAAGATTGCCAAGCCATTGACAGAGTTGACACAGAAGGAGGGGTTCAAATGGGGGCCTCAAGCTCAAAAGGCTTTTGAAATTTTAAAGCAGAAGCTGACAACAGCCCCCGTACTTGCTTTGCCGGATTTTGAAAAGGAGTTCACAATAGAATGTGATGCATCCGGAGTGGGTCTGGGGGCGATATTAATGCAAGAGAGAAAGCCCATTGCTTTTTTTAGCAAGGCTTTAGGAGGAAAGAATTTGGCTAAGTCTGCATATGAAAGAGAACTAATGGCAGTAGCTTTAGCGGTACAACATTGGCGCCCTTATTTGTTGGGCAGACATTTCACTGTGACAACAGATCAAAAGAGTTTGAAGCAATTATGGCAACAAAAGATTACGACACCGGATCAGCAGAATTGGGCCACTAAATTGCTCGGTTATCAGTTTGATATCGTATATAAGCCGGGAGTGGAGAATAGAGGGGCAGATGCTCTATCCCGATTACCTGAAGGTGAATTAGCAGCTCTGGTCTCATATCCAATTTGGGAGGAAGGCAATGTGATACAGGAAGAAATCCACATGGATAAGGTTCTGCTGAAAATCATAGAGGAATTGGAAGAAAAACCAGATTCAAGACCAGGATTTAAGTACAAACAAGAGGTTTTATTTTATGAGGATCGTTTAGTGTTATCTGCACAATCTTCATTGATTCCCAAGATGTTGGCTGAATTTCATATTACTCCGGAAGGTGGGCATTCTGGGTTTTATCGCACCTACAGACGTTTAGCTGCTAATGTATATTGGATAGGTATGAAAGCAAGAGTGCAAGCCTATGTGAAGGCTTGTGATGTGTGTCAACGACAAAAGTACTTAGCTATCGCACCTGGGGGTTTATTACAACCTCTGCCCATTCCCTCAGCAGTGTGGGAAGAGGTCTCAATGGATTTTATCACAGGTTTGCCGAAATCCCGTGGGTTTGAAGCTGTGTTTGTGGTAGTAGATAGGCTGTCAAAATACTGTCATTTCATCCCTCTTAAGAGACCTTATACTGCTAGAACAATAGCTGAAATTTTTGCCAAAGAAGTTATACGACTTCATGGTTTACCTACAGCCATTGTTAGTGACCGTGATCCTCTGTTCATCAGTAATTTTTGGACTGAACTTTTCAGGCTGCAAGGTACCACTTTGAAGATGAGTTCAGCCTATCACCCGAAAACGGATGGCCAAACGGAGGTTGTCAATCGATGTTTGGAGACTTATTTGAGATGTTTCATTGCGGACCAACCAAAATCCTGGCTGACTTGGATTCCATGGGCAGAGTTTTGGTTTAATACAACATTTCATGCGTCCACGGGGAGTACACCTTTTGAGTTAGTCTACGGAAGGAAGCCTCCTGTTATTACAAGACTCTTGCAAGGTGAGACAAGGGTGACTGCAGTTCAAAAAGAGTTGGAAGAACGGGATGAAGCACTCAAGCAGTTGAGAGCTCATCTCCAAAGAGCTCAAGACCGCATGAAGTATTTTGCAGATGAGAAGAGGACAGAGTCCAGTTTTAATATTGGAGAGTGGGTGTTTTTGAAGCTTCGTCCACACAGGCAGCAATCCGTGGTATCTAGGATTAATGCTAAATTGGCAGCTAGATATTATGGCCCGTTTAAGATTGTGGAGAGGATTGAAGCTGTTGCGTATAAGCTGAAATTACCCGAGGGATCACGGGTACACCCAGTTTTTCATGTCTCTCTGTTAAAAAGGGCAGTTGGAGATTATGCAGTGGAAAGTGAATTGCCCCAAGAAGTTGAAGGGAGTTGTGTGGAGCAGTTTGTGCCTGAAGGAGTTTTAGACACACGTTTCAACGGGCTAGGAGAACAGAGAGTTAAACAAGTTTTAATTCAGTGGACTAATAGGGCGGCGGACGAGGCTACTTGGGAAGACATGGAAACCATAACAAAGCAATTTCCTGAATTTAACCTTGAGGACAAGGTAGCTTTTCTAGAAGGAGGTATTGTTAGGGACCAAGTGAAGAAAGATGGGCCAGATATAGAAATGACAAATCATATTGGGCCTAGGAGTGCTAAGATCTGGCAGGTTTATTCTAGAAGGAAAAAAGGATCTCACACCATGTGATAGCTATGAGGTGGCAGAGAGAGAGAGTAGTGGCTTTAGCAAATATTGTTAGACGGTTACAATAAATGAGGAGGTAAGGGAATTGGGGACGTACGCTAGAAGATTCATTTAGCAATCATTGGATGGGGGGCTGTTAAGCACTCCATAGGAGCCTAGCTCTGTGGCAGTTAGATCATTGAATCTTCTGTAAATCTTCTTACCATCATACAATAATAGCCATTAATTTCTATCAGCTTCTATCCTTTTGTCTTAAATTTATTTGTTACTGTCGGTACCTAACAGTCCTCCACTCTCTTTAGCACTGCCAATCATCTTCCCCGAGTTTAAATTCTGAAAGACACTGTGAGATCGGAAAAAATTAGTTTGACAATTCATATCTTGGGCTAATTTACTGATGGATATTAAATTACATGATAAGTTTGGAACATGAAGAACATTTTTAAGAGTTAACACTGGAGACATAAACACCACATGTTCACCTAAAACCTTAAGGTAATAGGTGGTAATAGGTGAGTGGTTTCTCCCATTTATAAAATGCTCAAGTCTTCAAATTCCTAATCAATGTGGGACTGGGACTTTTCCACACTACTCACACTTGTAATTCTTTTTCAACACGTATTATTCTGCATTTCAAAGGGATTTGCCCTATTTCTTTATGTGTATCGGTTGGTTTTCTATCAGTGTCATATCATGGAACGAAACCGAAGCAACTAAAGCTTGGAATCAACTATGGCATAGCAAAACAGTATTAATAGTAACACCTAAGAGACATATGAAAGCACGAACCACGCTAGGGGGACACAACTGGAACAAGCAAAACTAGAACAACTATTGGATAGTCTTTTGAACAAATTAGAACTAGGGAACAATCAATTTAACTATATTTATGGTCATTAAATTTTCAGTTTCCGGTACCAGTGGATAAGCCTTGATAGTGGCTAGATGACATGACTATGTTGGATTAAAATATCCAGCGTCAACCTTAGGGATTCGAAGGGCTTAACATCCCCCCATGGGCGCCTACACAGGTGTGTTAGGTGGGCTAGGTAGGCCCCTTGTTGGATTCGCTATAAGGAAATAGAGTAGCACCTTGGCTACAAGCAATTGCTTTTAGCGCAGTGGTAGGCGTTTGATCCTACAAGTGGTATCAGAGCAAGGTCATGGGTTCGAATCCCCCCGGCTGACACTGGGGGGGAGATTGTTGGATTAAAATATCCAGCGTCAACCTTAGGGATTCAAAGGGCTTAACATCCCCCCATGGACGCCTACACAGGTGTGTTAGGTGGGCCAGGTAGGCCCCTTGTTGGATTCGCTATAAGGAAATAGAGTAGCACCTTGGCTACAAGCAATTGCTTTTAGCGCAGTGGTAGGCGCTTGATCCTACAGACTACTTGTTGACAGTGTGGCAGGACCAATGACTATGAGTGACGGGAGAAAACACATCAGGATAAGAGTGACTTAAAGAGACGACCAACAAACAACTTGTAACTAGTTGCAAGGCAAACAAATGGATGTTTTTCTTGGGATAGGACATAGCTAGCTAGACATGTTAAGTTGAGCCAAGCCGACATGCTGCATGTTTGGTTTTGCGGTGACAAAAAATAGTTTTAAATGATTTAATTATGAACATGGCAACAATTATTTTTAAATAAGTTGATTATGAACAATTGATTATGATTAAAAGTGAGTTGAATATAAAAGGTATTGGATATATTCCATGTAAAATTGAGTTGAACAATAAATTTGAGGCAAAAAATCTACTGTAGAGGCAAATGCTCTAAATTGAAGTTATAGTTAGTTATAAAACATTTCTTTTCGAGAACATCCAAACATGTATAAATCAATTTAACACCTCTAGAATCAATTTTGCCTCTTCCAATAGTCAACAAGACAACTAGAAACTACAGGCAAGCTGGAAGCATAACAAAACCAGAAAACGAAAAATCACAACAAACCATAATTGATGTGGAGAGCAACCCTGAACAATGTCAACCTCAAACGGAGAACACCACACCACAAATGTATTTTTCCCCCGACCTTCAAACTATCACAAAATTTTACTCCTACTTAAAATAACTTTAGACCCTATTTACTTTGGCTTTTCTTCCTCTTAAAAAAAGAAGCTGGGTCCAAACACTTGGCGGAAAAAACTCTAATATAAAGACCTTATGTTTATAGAACAAAAACAAAAAATAATGACATTCTGTTCTATTAAAGCTATTGGGAAGAGTTTTTCCTCGATTTACATTTTTTTCCCACCAGATGCATTGTACAAATCCCAGGCCATGTGGAAATTTATATTTATATATTTTTTTAGTCATAACAATCTGCATTCGCCTCTCCAACATCATTACTTCTATTTTACTGAATTCATGATTTTGCTCTGAATGTTTTATTTGTTTTATGATAAAATAGTTGATGTTAACTATCCAATGTCTATAGTCTCTACAGCAATATGTTTCGTACTAATACCTTCACTCTTATTCATCCTTTGGTGGTGGATTTTTTATTTTTGAATATGCTTAAGGCTCTATTTTTAAAAATCTACAATAATAAAATTGTATTGGAGCTATTGTTAACATAATGGTAAAGTGAGTCAGGAGTCAAGACAATTTTTCTTAAAATGTTTGTGAATTACCAAACAACTTTACTTGACTTTTAAAGATTATTTTAAGTAAAATAAGCTGGGCTAACCATATCGTTACTGAATCGACTTCATTTCTATATCCTCATCATTCAGAGAAAACCATAGCTTCCAAGTCAAACTCACCTATAGACAACTAGGCTAATTCAAGCAGCGGTCACCACCATCAAATGTATCATGTACATCTCTACTAATACCCCACAATTACGTCTCTAATTTTTGTAGTTTGATTCCACTCACAACATGGTCAACAACAATAAACAAGCCTTATCCCACTTGGTGTGGTTGGTTACACAGATCAAACTGATGCCATAATGCTCTATTATATATCAAATCTTTATCCAGACAATTCACTTCAAGGATTTACTTGATAGTTTCTCCTATGATGTAGAACAAGACTATACAAAAAGCTTTAAAACAAGTATTTTTTCCCGTCTTATCTGAGAGTATCAAAGTACATAAAGCAAAGGAATTATGTTCAAAGGGGAGATAATACAGAAGGAGTATTAGTCCTAAAATAATTTTATTTACAACCTTTATTATGATTATTTTTACATGATATCTGTCCCTCGTTTTGCAGGTTCACAGTTTTTTCGGAATGACACTAGGTTACGTGCTCTGCGCTTCTTGGACCACATGCTTGTAAGAGTTTTAAGTTTAGCTTGTTAGCATCTCAAAATTGATAACATGCAGAATATTTAGATGTGAATTTCTTAATGACGTGACTTATTTTCCTTCAGGAAAGAGATAATATGCAGAAGTCAGAGTTCTTAAAAGCCTTGTCAGATATGTGGAAAGATTTTGATTCCCGTGTATTACGATACAAGGTATGTTGTATGGGAGTTGTCATCCTCTCCATTCCCTCTATTTCTTAAAAGAAATGGAGAAAATCCTAACCCATTGTTTGGTTATGTAAGTATGTTTTTTCATTTACTACTGTAAATCAATTTTATGTTAGCTCTCTTTCCCCGTATATGTTTCGCCACACTCTGGATCCATCAATCACTTGGTAATGTGTCCTATGACCTCGTTTTTGGGTTTGACATAAGCTGAGTATGTCAATAATTGCTTTGAAATATGTCAAATATGTTTAAGTCATCTTGTTTTTCCTTGATATATGCAATTAAATTACATATGTTTCTTTACCCCCGGCATCTATTTATTTTATAGAATTATGAGTTTTATTCTCTTTTGTCATGAATGTAATCTCAACAAAATAAATTTCATGCAGGTCCTTCCACCACTTTGTGCAGAACTTAGGAATGTAGTGATACAGCCAATGATTCTACCAATGGTTCTAACCATTGCAGAGTCTCAGGTACTATTCTTTCTTTCTTTTCATCACTTCAATAAAGTTCCTATATTCCTGTTAGTCATAATGATAGTATTGACAACAATGTTAATCAAACACCACTGCATCGAGAAATATTCTTTTGTAGAGTGAATATTTTAGAGTCCACCAGTGTTGAAAATATACATGATACATGCGATGCTCAAAAAATTCCATATTAATCTAAAATTTGTGCCCATTCTATCAATACTGTTGGACATAGAAAAAATAAATTGTATGTTTCCCACTAAAATGAGCATTTAAGTCTTAGGTTCATGTATATTTAGATTCATGCATTTAGGGAGTTGGACTATTATTTATTGCTCATTGTAAACATAATATGTAATTAATTATATAATGTGTATAAATATCAAAGTTGCTGAGTGCTTTACTCACTCAAGCACATTCAGAAAATTTCTTAATCTTATTTTTCACATGGCATCAGAGCTCCTAATCTAGGGGACTCTACTTTCGCTAATCATTATTTAGAAATCTGACTGGGCATTTTATGCTGCCAGAAAACTTAAATCTTGACTGGGCAACACTTGCTGTCAAGTTTTTTTTTTCCAATTAAACGCTATCTATACTTTTCCGACAGCTGTCCGTACAATTCCGTACAGTTTCCTGTAGCCGTCGGTGCCGCTGTCTGCATAGTTCCAGCCGCTATTTCAGCCGCTTCCTGCACAGTTCCAGCTGCTGTCCCTATATTTTCTGGGTTGATTTCTTCATCAAATCTTGTTTTCATTGGTATCTTACACATAAATATTTGGTTGTTGCTTCTATTTCCTTCATGACCAATAGTATGGAAAAGTCATCAGGTAATTGCAGTGTTGCGTATTCTTGTAAGTTTCCACTCTCATTTGGATTTCATGTCTCAGAAACACCTTGTTTATTTTGGATATTAGATTCAGGAGCCACATACCACATGACACCCTCTTCGAAACAATTCTCCACATATTCCTCTTGTCCTAGTAATAAAAAGATTTCTACTGTAGATGGTACTCTTGTAACTGTAGCGGGCATTGGAGATATCCAAATAAATCATTCTATAACCCTAAAAAGGGTCCTCCATGTTCCAAAACTATCCATGAATCTTGTCTCCATACAAAAACTTACAAACGATTTATCTTGTAGTGTTACTTTTCATAATGATTGTTGTATATTTCAGGATAAGGAGTCGGGAAAGACGATTGGACGTGCTAGAGAAAGGAATGGCCTTTACTATCTTGAAGAACCAAATCAGTGTACAAAAGTCCACTTGTCCCACTCATTTGTGTCAGAGTCAGTACTCTCTGAAAAGGAAAAAATCTTTCTTTTTCATTGTCGATTAGGTCATCCTTTTTTTGGAGTCATAAAAGTTTTGTTTCCACCTTTACTCAATAAGGTAAATATTGAAAGTGTTCATTGTGATGTGTGCGAGTTTGCTAAACATAAGCGTTCATCTTTTCCATTAAACAACAAAAGAAGCCTTTCCCCCTTCTATCTTATCCATTCATATGTTTGGGGTCCCTCTACCAATCCAAATGTAATAGGTGCTAGGTGGTTTGTTACTTTTATAGACGATTGTACTCGGGTTACTTGAGTGTTTTTACTCCAAAACAAGTCTGACATCAATACTGTTTTCCCAAGGTTTTTCTACATGATTAGAAATCAATTTGGAGTAAACATCAAAAGGCTTAGGTCTGATAATAGAAAAGAGTACTTCAATCATGTTCTTACTTCTTCTTGTCAAAAAGAGGGGATTGTCCATGAGTCTTCTTGTGTTAAAACACCATAACAAAATGGAATCGCAGAAAGAAAAAATGGGCATCTATTAGACCAAACCCGAGCTTTGTTGTTTCATTAAAATGTTCCAAAATATTTATGGGGGGAGGTTGTTCTCACTAGCACATATCTTATTAATCGATTACTTTCTAGAGTATTCAGGTTCAAGAGTCCTATGGATGTTCTTTCTTCCTTCTATCCAAATTTGTCAGTAAGTAGTAATCTTAAACCTAGAATCTTTGGGTGTGTCTCATTTGTCTATGTGCATAGTCAAGACAGAAAAAAAAACTTGACCCTAGAGCTCTAAGATGTGTTTCTTTCCGGGTATTCCTCTACTCAAAAGGGATATAAGTGTTTTCATCCTCCATCTAAAATTTTTTTCGTGTTGCAGGATGTTACCTTTCATGAGGAGGAACCGTACTTCACTCAACCTTATCTTCAGGGGGAGAATTTTAAGGAAGATAAGCTTGAAAATCTTGATCTTTCTGGTCTTGAGTCAAATACACTAAATCTGTGTAGTATTAAGTCAAATACATCTGGTCATTCTAGTCACGAGTCAAATACACTCGATCTCTCTGGTCTCGAGTCAAATCCACCTAATTCTTTTAGTTTCGAGTCAAATAGACCCAATCTTTCTGGTCTTGAGTTAAACACACTTGTACCAGACCCATTTGAGGCTGAAGAACTATGAGTTGAGTCAAATCAATCAAATACACCACTTGCTGAACTTGGAACTGGAGTGGATGTAAGATATAGAAAGAATCTGGTTTACATGAGAAAGTCAAAGGCCATTCCTGAATCGAGACAAGTTCAAGAGTCAGACTCGACTCCTTCGAATGAGGTAATTAATTCTTCTGAATTACAAGATAAAATGATGACCCAGGCAAAAGATGATGACCTAGACCTTCCCATTGCTATTAGAAAAGGTACCAAAAAATGCACCAAACATCCTTTATATCCCCTTTCAAACTATCATTCTTTTCAAAACTTCTCACCTACCCATAAAGCCTTTCTTACAAACCTAAATACTACTTCCATACCTACTAATATTTCTGAGGCATTGTCTGATGAAAAATGGAAGCAAGCCATGAATATCGAGATGAACGCATTGAAGAAGAATGGAACTTGGGAGTTAGTGACTTTACCAGAAGGAAAGAGGCCGGTTGGATGCAAATAGGTGTACACAGTAAAATATAGGGCTGATGGATCAACTGAAAGATATTGACTATTCAGAGACATTTGCTTCGGTTGCGAAGATGAATACAATGAGAGTAATTTTGTCACTTACGGTCAATTATGGTTGGGATTTACAACAATTTGATGTGAAGAATGCCTTCTTACACGGAGAACTCGAAGAGGAAATTTATATGGAGGTACCACCGAGGTATGAAAAAAATGTGCCTGACAATACAATTTGTAGGTTGAAAAAGACGTTATATGGGCTAAAACAGTCACCTCGAGCATGGTCTGGAAGATTCACCAAGGTTATGACATCTTTGGGGTACAAGAAAGTGGATCACATCTTGTTCATCAATCACTTGTCACAAGGGGGAGTAACAATTTTGTTAGTATATGTGGATGACATTATAATGATAAGAGATGGTGTTTGGCTAAGGAGTTTGAATTAAAAACTCTTGGAAAGCTGAAGTACTTTTTGGGAATCGAGGTGGCACATTCCCGAAAAGGCATTTTTATATCTCAACAAAAAATATATTACAGATTTACTCAAAGATACAGGAAAAACAACTTGTAAACCTGCGAGCGTTCCTATGGATCCAAATCTTAAACTGAGTAATACATAAGATGTTGCAGTAGATAAAGAAATGTATCAATGTCTAGTTAGGAGATTAATTTACTTGTCTCACACTAGATCCCATATTGCATATGCTGTAAGTATGGTTAGTCAGTTCATGCACCGTCTTAAAGAAAATCATTTACAAGCAATTTATAGAATCCTAGAGTATCTTAAGGGAACTCCAGGAAGAGGAATTTTGTTTTAAAGAAATGGAAATACAACCCTTGAGGCCTACACTGATGCAGATTATGCAGGTTCAATTGTTGATAGACGATCCACTACAGGGTACTGCACCTTTCTTGGAGGAAATCTTGTGACTTGGAGGAGTAAGAAGCAAAATGTAGTAGCCCGTTCTAGTGTTGAAGTTGAATTTCGAGCTATGGCACAAGGCATTTGTGAATTACTTTGGCTCAATTATTTTAGAAGATTTGAAAATTAAATGGGAAGGACCCATGAAGCTCTACTGTGATAATAAGTCAGCTATCAGTATAACACATAATCCAGTTCAATATGATCGAACTAAGCATATTGAGGTTGATAGACACTTCATTAAGGAGAAACTTGATAGTAGGCTGATTTACACCCCATATGTGTCCTCACAAGGGCTACTTGTGGATATTCTCACTCAAGGATTGAGTAGCACAAATTTTGAACGAATTGTATCCAAGCTGGGAATGGAGAATACTTATTCACCAGCTTGAGGGGGAGTGTTGGAAATAGAAAAAATAAATTGTATGTTTTTCACTAAATGAGCATTTAAGTCTTAGGTTCATGTATATTTAGATTCATGCATTTAGGGAGTTGGACTATTATTTGTTGCTCATTGTAAACATAATATGTAATTAATTATATAGTGTGTATAAATATCAAGGTTGCTGAGTGCTTTACTCACTCAAGCACATTCAGAAAATTTCTTATTACTATTTTTCACAAATACACTTTTAAGTTGAGGCATAGTGAGCTCTATAAAACAAAGCTAAATATCAACCACTTTATTACAAATAATTCAATGATCTATATTCTTGAAATTATTCTCCTTAAGCTCAGCATGTTGATCGCCATTTAGTAGCGGCTATAAGTGCCTTAATGTAAAGGAGTAGCCTTTTGTTGCTTCTGAGTTCTTGTCTCTACACACTTCATGGGTGAAGTATAGTTGGATGCACCAGACCAAAGCAGCTTCTATTCTATGTGGAGCCAAATTTCCTGTTTTAACATCAATGGAACCAACTTTATCAAGTTAGCTATATACAAATATGAATTGTTAGGTCCATTGACACCTACAAACCAGATGACATACTGTCCAGCAAGCTAAACAGCAAAGGGAGAATATATATAAAAAGTAGTAATACAAAGATCGCAGGTATCCTAATTAATTACCATAACTACAAGATTATGGTTAGCCTTAGCCTATATATAATGAACCTAGGCACTATTTGGGCACATTCAAACAATTAGTTAAAGAATACTCTGGGTTCATATTGTTTTTTAATAAAAAGAAATTCATTAAGATGAAGGAAACAAAAATTTAAAGTTTCTTTTCAGGACAAGAATGATTTTGAGCAATCAACACTTCCCGCCCTTGACCCTGTCTTAAGCACTGCTTCTGGTGACACAATGCTACTGCTTCTGAAGCATGCCGAGCTAATAATAAACAAGGTATTTTTGAGTTTAAATGTGGTTCCTTTATTTTAAAGATTGAAAAATCATTGTGTCTAATGACTATATTTGTATTAACTTATGCCATTCTTTGTTCTATAAGACTACTCAAGAACATTTAATTTCACATGTTCTTCCAATGATTGTTCGGGCCTATGATGATAATGATGCACGTTTACAAGAAGAGGTCCTGAAAAAGACTGTATCCCTTGCCAAACAACTTGATGCCCAGGTGAATGCTATACCCCCATCATACAGGACTTCTATATTTTTGAGTGTGTGTAAGTTGTTTTGAAATATTACATATTAGCTGTTAAGTACTTTTTAAATTGGTTTACACATTTTTTAAGTTTTTTAGGGACTGTCGAAACTTTAGCATTTAGACAATGAATAGTAAAAAAGATAAATGTTAACAGTGCATTACAAGAGTAAAAATAAGATGTTATTCAACTACATTAAGTTAATTAATGCACTTATCAGTACCATTAAACTAATTAGTACAAGCATAAATCTTATCCCAATACTAGTGAAATTCATATCCTTAAAATCTTCCAAACCACCCTCAAGTTAAGCTTTTCAAACCATAAACTTGCTACTACAAGTAGCAAATCCATTAAAAAAACAGGCAATTAGGACTCTTCCTGAATCACAAATTTTGGTAATGCCTTGGGTAGATAGCTCCTTAAGGAATCCTCATTTACTTTGGCTAAATGACATACGTTTATGGAATCTTGACCTTTCTCTTTAATGACCTTAACCTCCGAAATAATTTCCAAAACAGAGTTGAGCTTTATAACCCCAGTAATGACCAGGGGTATCCAAAACACCAAGTCGGGCGTGTCATACCACCCGGTAACACAAATAAGGGTCCTTTACTAGTGTCAAATCTCTTCAATCTGCAAAACATCAATGACAGAATAAAGAAACCTAGAGCAATAATCTCCACACACAATTACTTCTAAAACATTAGAGACAACAAATTAGAGGCAGATCAACATGTCATTACAGTTTATTTGTTACCTTGTCTTATCATTCCCTTAGGCTTATATTATCATATAACCCTAGTACTGTTTAGCCCAATATCAGATAACACTGGGCCACTTTTTCACTCAAGTTCACTTTAAATGTCTGGTACTCTGTTCTCTGATATTAAAACCGCGACTTCTATGAAGATTCTAATATTTTTCTTTCTTTCAGTTGGTGAAACAAGTGATTTTACCCCGTGTTCATGGACTAGCACTCAAAACAACGGTTGCCGCGGTATGTTATATTTTGTTTGAACTTTTACCTTTTTGTTCAAATGCCTCAGACAGTCATTGTATATTTGGTGTCTTCTTAGCACACACCCTAATTTTGGCAAATTAATTAGATCTTTATTCTACCATGTTAGTTATTTAATTGAAAGGAAATCTTACCTGTTTTTAAAGTTACATCTCTATTCTTTCGAATTTGACATATTGCTCTTATTTCTCCCAAACATTCAACATTTGGCTTACCATTATCAATACAGTTATTATGATTTTTTTTATCAAATATATTTTAAAGCTTTGGACGTATTTCTATTAGTTAAACATAAATAAGTATGGCAAGAATAAAGTAGATTGGAACATGTGTATTTGCATATGTACATTGGCAATCTGACACTGTTAAATTGGAACTTCTGGACCATTGAATAATAATGATAGATGTTTGAGAAGGCATGATTTCCCCATTTTCATTTATATGTTGTTTCCTGCCTCCCTGGCATAAAATGTGCTGACAGTGGGTCATGGTCCTTCTGTGGTGGTCCTTGGTGAATAGGTTTGGATTGTTCCTAGTCGTGAAAGTTGATTCTGTTTCTAAATAAGAGGTTTTCTTAGCCAATTTATGCTGTTTAGCCAGAGGCTTTTTATGAGGGTTTTTTTTTTTGTGGTATTGGAAATGCAAAGAGATAGGTGAACTGTTGGAAAATATTTTATTTCCCTATTTTGTTATTTCTGTTTATTCTCCTTAGTTTTCCTTTGTTCTCCATTAATGAGAGAATTAATTGTAATTTATGGAATTCCCACTATATAAACCGGCCCGAGGCTGAGGAATAAAAAACAACAGCTTTTTACCATTCTCTTCAATATGAACTTTGCTTAGTTGTGAATTGTAAATACTAATTTCAACTTTGTTGAATTTCAGAATAAGCATTGTGTTGTAAGGGTTATCTATGATAGGTCAAATGTCTTGTGCATTTTAAATCAAAAGATACTTAAATAGTTAAATGTCAGTTTAAATAGTTAAATGTCAGTTGTGATTTTAATGTTTTTTTTAAAACTGATTTTAATGTTATTATTATTATGGCTTAGCTGTGTTGTTTAATGTGTGTATTCATAAATGTAAATTTGTATAATATGTAGGATTTTAATATTCCATGTTATGATCTCACATTTTGTGAACCTTCTTTGTCTGATCCTCGGTAGGATGTACAAGATCAACTACCTTGTGTGCCCATTTTTTTTTTCTTTGACGCGTGCTTTTAGTTTCACCATATATGTAGAGGGTAAAACTTTTAGTCTGTAACTGTCTCTTTGGTTTGACAGGTTAGAGTCAATGCTTTGCTGTGCCTAGGAGAAATGGTTAACCGACTTGATAAACATGCTGTCCTGGAAATCTTGCAAACTATTCAGCGCTGTACTGCTGTTGACCATTCTCCTCCAACCCTTATGTGTACCCTTGGGGTTGCAAATTCTATTTTTAAGCAGGTAATCACAGTAACAGCCTGAATTATGAACTGCAGTTTAGGTTATTGACTGCTGCGATCAGCAATAGTTAGGGTCTTACCTAAATCTTGTTTGATTTCTCTTGTTCAGTTTGGAGTAGAATATGTTGCTGAACATGTTCTTCCATTGCTTATGCCACTCCTGACTGCTCAACAACTCAATGTTCAACAGTTTGCCAAATATATGCTTTTTGTCAAGAATATTCTCCAGTAATATTTTTTTCCTCCAAAATATTTGTCATCCTCTAATTTTGTCATTTGGTCCGTCTTACTTTCTCCTTAATCTCTGATAAGCTTCTCTTTGAATTTCTTTCTGAACTTTCCATGTTTCATGCAGGAAGATAGAAGAGAAGCGGGGAGTTGTTGTGACTGATTCTGGACTCCCAGAGGTAAAATTATCTCCTGCAGTGAATGGCCTTCAGGTTGATGCTCCGAGGACAATCAACAGCACTATTGCTACTCCAACAAAAAGCAGCTCCTCTTGGGATGCAGATTGGGGAACCAAAACAGCGAGAACTACCAATTATGTTCATAATCCTACTAATACATCTAGTCAGTCAGTGATAGGAAACCCTGTGGGTCAAGTGGCATCTTTACAAAATCATATGTCCTTATCTGGTGTATCTAATCAACAGACAGCCAAATCATGTCCTTCAGTAGATTTAGAGTGGCCGCCTCGTGCATCTTCAGGTGTTACCTCACAATTTGGTGATACAGAAAGGCAAACAGTTGCAGTAGGAACCTCATCCACATCTAATCATGAAGATGATGATCCTTTTGCCGACTGGCCTCCGCGCCCTAGTGGCCCATTATCTGGTGGAATTGGAAATCCCAACAATGGTACTTCAGGAATGCCACTAAACAAATTAGGGCATAATTCAATGACAAGCAATTCAAGCAATCTTCAAGCCAGCAACAATTGGTCTGTCAACTCCCAAAATTCTCTGGAATCTATCAGTTTGAACCCAAGGAATGCTGCTAGTTCATCTATTAGTAACCTGAATAATGGCTTTCAACCTCAGAGTCCTCTTGGGTTCCAAAAACAAAGTCAGGCCTTTCCAGCATTGAATGCTGTTTCGTCATCATACAATAACGTTAAATCAACTGATCTTGGATCAATATTTTCTTCCAACAAGAATGAACAAATTGCACCTAGACTTGCCCCACCCCCTTCAACCACAGTGGGTAGAGGGCGGGGAAGAGGGAGGGGTGCTACTTCAACCAAACAGCCCTCTCATACAAAATCAAGCACTGAGCAGCCACACCTTTTGGATTTGTTGGGGTAACTTGCTTCTATTATTGTTCTTAGACTGTATATTTATGCAACATTCGGTGTTGAATGTCAGAGACATTTGCTATAAAGGAGGAAATTGCGGAAAATCTTGCCACGCACCATCTGCTGTAAAAGACTATGTAAAGGTTTTGTTGTATGTTTGCTTAGTCTATCTATAGTGATCTTGCAAAAATTTGGATTATTATTTTAAATTTTTTAGTCGCAATATATGTCTTGCTATATTCTTAGGGTGTCAGGCAAATTGTATTCAGAAAAGTCCTGATTACTGCGACTGGGTTGAAAATAATAAAAGTTTCTTAAACGAGAATGATTTGGGTTCCATTATGTATGATCTGGATAATGGGGGTATGATAGTGCCAGTTGTAACTTGTAAGTGCTTATAGTCTATCATTTCTCAGACGTGGAATCAGCACTTGTAAGTGAAGTAAGTTTGCAGTCAGTTTTCTTTTTACTAATATATAGTAGTAATTTTTTAAACTGAAAACAGAGTGTTTTTTTTTTTGGTGTGAAATAGCTGAGTTATGCATTGGATTTAATTGCGCAAGAAACTGAAACCCAAAATATCTGAACTATACTCAATAAGAGCCAAAATGAAAATGAAAAAGAGAAGCACAGCCGAAATAATGAAGTAAAAATGAACAAAAAAGAATAAACTATAAAGAAGCGAAAATGAGAACGCTTAACTTTGGGTCTGCATGTTTCAGTTTTTCAAAAAAATGATTTTTCTTTTATAGGAATACATATTTTAGTTTAAGAAAATTTTATAACGAATTTTTAATAAAATATTTAAATAAAATATTAATTTAAATAACTATTCTTAAAATGTTATTTTAAATATTTTATTATGATTTTTTTATATATTTAAATTTCATAAAATCACTTAAAATTATTTCAAATAGTTTTTTTTTTCTTTCATTTTTTTGATATACGTGTTTTTAAAATAATTGTGATGTCAATTATATTTTAATCTTTAGTAATGTATATTTATATTTCAATTTATAAGAAAAAATTGAAAAAACTATTAATATTTAAATATATTTTTAAAAACATATTTTTTTTAAAGATAAAATAAAAGGGTCCTTTATCTCACATTTGAATGTGTTTTTTTGATAATTTATATTATAAAATATCAACTACTTCAAAAATTTAAGCATGACTTATTTAAATTTATTTATTAATATAAAATGTTTCATTGTTTAAGAGATCTTATTAAATAATTTATGATATTTTCATATATTTTTTGAATATATTTTATAAGTTTTTATAAAAATGATTTATAATATATAAAGCACTTTAAATTTATTTTATTTTTTATTATAAAAAAATATACAAACTTTTTCATAAATATTTATTTTAATAATATTTATATTTTAAATTTCAAATAAGTTGTTTATCCTAGGGGTGTTCAAAACCAAACCGGCCCAATAGAAAACCACAAAATCGAACCGAATCAAATCGAAATGGCAAAAAACTGCATTTGATTCGGATGTGTTTGAGTCATTTTCTCACAGAATCGTGCGGTTCGGTTCGGTTTGCGGTTTGTATTTTACAAACCGAACCAAACCAAACAAAATCGCATTATATTATAAAATCTTACTAATCAATATATATTTCTTTAATTCTTTAGAGAAATAAACATGTATTATGTGTATATTTTATCATACGTTGTATTATATTTATTTTAATTTACAAATCATAAAAAAATAAAATATTATTCATTTATAAATATTATTTTTATAAAATATATTTTATTGTATTCTTTATATAATATTTATTTAAGAATACAATCTTGTCTATATCATTCTTTAGATTTAGATACAATTATAATACATAATTTTATGTATCAAATTATAAATTTATTCTGACAATTATAAATTTTTTTATGGTAATGTATTAACAATTAAACGCATAATTATATATATTTTTTTATATTTGTATGTATAGCTTAATAATTTTTTTTTTTGTAAAAAATCAAACCAACTGAACCAATCCAAACTACATTAACTTGGTTTGGTTTGGTTCGGATTTATTTTTAAAAGTCAACCGAATTAAACCGAACCGCATGTTTTTTTCTCTTGCGGTTCGGGTGATTTTTTGCTTCAAAACTACCGCACCGCGAACACATCAAAATTTATCACATTATATTTAGTTAATATCAGAGACAATTTTAAAGACCGGATAGACTGGACACATGTCTCTGATCTAATTTTTTTTTTTGGATTTGAGATTAAAAATAAGGATAAATAATAGGTTAAAAAAATAGAAATAACATAAACGTTGAAAAAGAAAGGGGAAGAACGAAACAAAATAAACATAATGACCACTAACACTACAATGAAGCAAGACCGCGACTTCAAAATCTGAATCTACTATCTGTTTCTTTGATTTCTTTTGGAGTTTGTTCTTCTTTTTTTACGGTAAATCACTTTTTACGGTTTTGTTTTTCATAATTTCAAGTAAATTTTTTGACACAATTTAGAGTTTTACAGTTTCAGTATTGATTCTAAATACTAGTATACAACATTATGAAGTTAAGTGGATGAATGTTTACATGTTAAAAATGTAGAAAAATACAACTTTTAGTCTTGCCTGCAAGGTGTTGGATATAATGTTTTAACCAATTTCTCGCCTCTTTTCGCTTCAATTCTTTCACTTCATGATGTTGAATTATTGTTGTTGTTGTAGGTTGTGGTTTATGAATCAATATCGAATTGTTGTTGTTACTACCGTTTTATAACTTGCACACTAAGTGTTTGGTAAATTGCCTCAACCAAGTTTCTTTTCCTTTTTTCGCTTTTCTTTCTCACGAATTATGGAACTGAATTGTTGTTATTGATTGTTTCACTTGCTGAAATTGTGACGGAAGGAAGGAGGACTTGTTACTGTGGTGTGTGTTTAGCTTTGTGGTTACTAACAACACAAGATATCAAATTTGATTAAGCATAAGAGGAGATTCAATTTATGGTACATGAGGTTCAACTTATGTTCAATTAATAGGGACGGTTTTACACGAGGTTCAATTTATGTTTAATTAATAGGGACGGTTTTACACGAGGTTCAATTTATGTTCAATTTATGCTAATACAATTTTAAATTTGTCTCATTAGTTTTGTGGTTATTGGCGTTACTGTTTCATTTAATTTCAGAATGAGTAGATTTTTGGTTGAAATAAAAAGTATTAATATAAATGTTGTGCACTTGGAAGTCTAATTAGAACCACAACCTAATGTGGTTAATGAGTTTAACCCAAATGAGATTGTACGTGATCAAAGTCGTAGGAAATAAATTAATGAGTATGTTCAAGATATTTAAGACCAAGTAAAGAAGACATATATATTGAAGGATCTAATGTAATCAGATTTGCCAAGCTTTTCTCATACTTCGTTTGGAAGCGTTAAAAGAGCATTTAGTAAATCATGGTATACGAATTATACATGGTTAGAATACAGTGAGATCAAGGATGCAACTTATTATTTTTATTGATTTCTCTTTAAGCAACTCGGGAGGGCCGAACACTTTAGTTTTGAAGTCTTCACTAAATGTGGATATAGAGATTGGAAGCATGCATCTCAAGGCTTGAAATATCATGTTGGTAGTCATAATATTTTGCACAACTCATGTGTCAAGCACTACGATGATTATAATAATCAAAGACAAAATGTGGCAAGTAAGTTTTCTAAAGCAATCAAGGAATCAGAGGAATTATATAAGATTCATTTGACTTGTTCTGTAGATTATTCAAGATATTTCATGGCACAAGGCACGATTTTCCGTGGCCATGATGAATCCCCTACTTCTCTAAATAAGGGCAATTTTAGAGAGATGGTAGTAGATTGAGTAAAATCTCAGAATGAACAAGTGAAAGATGCTTTTGACTGTGGTGGAAAAAATTGCACAATGACTTCCGGTGATATTCAAAAGCAGCTTGCAACGTGTTGTGCACATGAAGTTACCAAGGTGATTATGGAAGAGTTTGGTGATAGATAATTCTCCGTATTTATTGATGAGTCACATGATATATCTGTCAAAGAGAAAATGACAGTGATGTTGAGGTTAGTAGTTGTATTTTCCAATTTCTAATTTTCATTACCTATTATTCTCTATGCTGACAAGTACACTTGTTGAATTTGTTTTAGGTTTTTGAACGACAAAGGGAATATTATGAAACAATTTATTGCTCTACATCATTTAAAAGATACTATATCTGAGTCATTAAAGGATGATCTTTATGATATTCTTGATAAATACACGTTATCTATTTCAAGGATACGAGGGCAAGGATATGATAAAGCTTCAAATATGAGAGGTGAATTTAATGGTTTGCAAAGAAATATTCTATATGAAACCTTTATGCTTTCTATGTCCATTGTTATGCTCATCGTTTACAATTGGTTGTTATGTCTGTTGCTAGTAGTTGCTCATCTATTCATGATTTCTTTGAGTACATCTCCTTGATTGTGATCACAAGAAGTGCATCTTTGTAAGAGGTTCGATGCTTTGATGGAGGCACAACACCAAGATATTTTAAATAAGCTTGAGAATTGTGAGATATCTAGAGGAAGATGCTTGCACCAATCATCTAGTCTCACTGACTCGGGGATACTAGATGGGGTTCACATCATACTACATTGCTTCATTTGGATCAAATATGGTCATTCATGCTAAAAGTGCTTAGTATGGTTGATGAAGATGGACGTGGACTATCTCAAGCAGCGCGTTTTATAGAAAAATGGAGAGATTTAAATTTTCTTTCATTTTGAAGTTAATGTTAAAGTTGTTTAGTATCACAAACGAGCTTTCAAATATTTTGCAAAGATAAGATCTTAATATTGTGATTGTCTTGGAATTAGTTGAAGATGTCAAAGTTCGACTGACCACAATGAGAGAGAGTGGTTGGGATATTTATTTGCCGATATCCAAGAATTTTGTGTTGCTAAAGGTATTGCGGTGCCAAATATGGATGATGAAATACCGCTTCAGGATCGTTCAAAG